AGGCAGTTTGTTTATACACACCGTGATGTGACCCCACCCCGCATATCTGCACCCTCCCAATTCCTGCCCTCCGGGCCTCACCTCACCTCACCTCGGTGACCTCACCTCACCCATGCCTGCGTCTGGCGCACCCATTGCCCGAGTCACTTGACTCACTTCCTGGTTTTGGGAATGTTTTTGGAATTAAAATTTTGAGAATAAAAAGTGGGGGGCAGCCCCCGTAGAATCGCCCGAGTGAGGGGGGAGGAGAAATCACCCCATGCTTCATGCCGTCATTTCACTCATAAAATTTTTAAGTTCACTTGGTGTAATTCAAGATTATTTTCTTTAAATCAACACTGCACTGCACTATATATTGTCAATATGTAAAATAAATTTCAAATAACCAATAATTGTACTGTAAAAATGTAAAAATAGTTTATGTTCAAGAGAGCCACAAGCAAGATGATACCTCCACTGACCAGAGATACAAACTGACGCCTTTGTGGGCGAGTCAAGTGGCTGATTGGCGCACCAAAAACTAGTTTCTTGTACTGCAATTATGTTAAATAAGTGTTAAAATGACTAAAAATTTCAATATAAACTTGGAAAATTATTGAATAGTACAGTTGTACCCCACTTAACGCGGTCAATTGAACCCAGAGGGTCCCGCGTTAAGTGAAATCCGCGTTAAGTGAACAACAGAACATATGGGATTAATTCCAATAGAAACCGGCCCGACCCCCAAACTCCACTTTTTGAAGGCACATACCTATGTTGTAGTAAAAATAACATCTTAATTTTATGATGGTACATGCACACAATTAATACTTAAGAGAAATAGAGAAATACAGTCGCCAAGTTAATGTCCATTCAAATAATGGACTCAACTCCCTCCCCCTCTCACACTACACAGCCGGCTAACAGATGGTCGGTCGGTCCCTCCCTCCCCCCCCCACCCCCCACCAACCGTCCCAAGGAGATGTGTGGGATAACCTCAAACTAAAGTTAGGAAAATATAATTGACATTGCTGGATTCCTTGTAAGACCAGGAATATTTTGAATATAAATGTCATATATTTTGCACAAAAGATAACATAGTTACCTAGAGAAAAATTTTTATCTAAAAATTGTAAGTTTAAAGCAAAATATATGATGTTTATATTCAAAATGATCACCAAATTATAAGAATTCCAGCAATGTAAATTATATTCTGACCGGGTAATTTGTATGAATTTTATGAGCTAAAACAAATATCTTCAGTTAATAAAAAAAAAATAATCTTCACGACACTATCTGTCAATCAAAGTACCCCACCTTGCCTCCCCCCCTCTTCCAACCGCGCGGTCAGTCCCAACCCTCCCCCCCACCCCCCACCAATCCTCCCTTCCAGAGTTTTTAACATTTAGTATTAAATAATACCTCAGATTAAAGTTAGGATAATATAATTGACATTGCTGGATTCCTTGTAAGACCAGGAATATTTTGAATATAAATGTCATATATTTTGCACAAAAGATACCATAGTTACCTAGAGAAAAATTTTTATCTAAAAATTGTAAGTTTAAAGCAAAATCTATGATGTTTATATTCAAAATGATCACCAAATTATAAGAATTCCAGCAATGTAAATTATATTCTGACCGGGTAATTTGTATGAATTTTATGAGCTAAAACAAATATCTTCAGTTAATAAAAAAAAATAATAATTCTTCACAGGGTAACAGATGGTCGGTTGGTCCCTCCCCCCCCCACCAACCGTCCCAAGGAGATGTGTGGGATAACCACTAAATTTTAATAAATAATACCTCAAACTAAAGTTAGGATAATATAATTGACATTGCTGGATTCCTTGTAAGACCAGGAATATTTTGAATATAAATGTCATATATTTTGCACAAAAGATACCATAGTTACCTAGAGAAAAATTTTTATCTAAAAATTGTAAGTTTAAAGCAAAATATATGATGTTTATATTCAAAATGATCACCAAATTATAAGAATTCCAGCAATGTAAATTATATTCTGGCCTGGTAATTTGTATGAATTTTATGAGCTAAAACAGGCAGTCAGGCAGGGTGGCGGGTGGGGCAAATCTAAAAATAGCGTCTCGGACAATCACCGCGTATATGTGGAAAAAATCCGCGTTAAGTGAAAGTTCAGCTTTGGCAAGGCACCGCGTATATGCGAAAACGCGTTAAGTGAAACCGCGTTAGGCGGGGTAAAACTGTACAACCTTCTTGATATTTACTCAAATGGGAACAAATTAAGCCCTAGAACCGAATACTGTATTGGCTGACTATTATTCCAGCTGGTGAGCAAGCCAAAGCATTTCGAAACATTTTCGTAAGAATTTCGTTAACCGAATTTATGTTCGTTAACCGAATTGAAGATTCATATGGAAGGTAATTTGTTAACCGAAACTTCGTTAACTGAGGGATCACTGTAAAGCCAAAAAAGGCAAGAAGTCAGAAACACTTAAAAATCCCCGAAATCGCCCCTAAATCACTATACAGTCAGTCTCCGGCTTACGACGGGGTTAGGGACCGAGGACCAGGTCGTAAGTCGAATTGGTCATAAGTCGAAAAAGCGAAAATAATACATAGACAATCTAAAATGGGTGTCTCTTTTTCTTCTCAGCACCACGAGAACTCTCACTTTTACTCTTGCCAGCCATTTTAAAGGGAATTAAAAAAAAATTGTCAGTACATAGCGCGATCACCAACGTCGGGACTCGAAAATACGTAATTTGACAAAAAAAAATTGTACGACTGCGGCGGTTGTATGCCCGGGTGGTCATAAGTCAAGTAGGTCGTAAGTCGAGGAGTACCTGTATATATACATAGATATACACTAGAACTCTTAAATCACTACTGTAATGTGATACAGGTGATTAATTTTTATCTCTTGTGCAAAATATGACGTTTATATTCAAATTATTCGCTATCTTGCAAGGGTTCCAACAAAACAAATTATGTTCTCCTAACTTTAGTCTGATATTATATAAGATAAAAACTAAGGCTAAAACTCTGGCTGGGCAGATGGGGGAAGCGAGGCGAGGCGAGGTGAGGTGATATGTTTAACAGTTGGCGGCGAGGGTCTAATGTGTGTTTATTTATCAGTCCATAAGAGTGACTAAGCTTTTCTCTTATAAAATGCCAGTGAAACGACCTGGGAGAATATAATTTACATTGCTGGGATTCTTTTAAGATAATGATTAATTTGAATATAAACAAGCCATAATTTGCACTAGAAATAAAAATTTTAGTATCGTAATCATTTAGTACATGTACATTGTACAGTACAGGTTTGCACTTAGGTCATTTATTTCTTTTAAGTTTCTTTTAGTATAGTGTGTGCTTGTAAATGAATAAAAATAAATGAAGAAATTTCAGTAAATCTCCCCAAAAATACAGTTGAAAAACTTGTACATTATTAAAATGTACTAAACCAATGTACTAAAATTTTTATCTCTTGTGCAAAATATATGACATTTATATTAAAATTATTTGCTGTTTTGCAAGGATTCTAGCAATGCAAATTATATTCTCTTAACTTTAGTCTGTGATATTATATAAGATAAAAACTGTAAGCCTAAAACACCAAACCCTGGCTGGGGGAGGATGACATGTTTGACAGTTGGGGCCAAAGGTCTAGTGAAGTATTTATTTGTTTATTTATGTCCTTTAGATTGAGTTTTTTTTTATTTTGCTTATAAAATGTCATAGAAGTGACCGGGGGAGAATATAATTTACATTAATGGAACTCTTATAAGATAATGATTAATTTGAATATAAACATGATATATTGTAGTTTGCACTAGACAAAAATCTTAGTAATCTTTTGTACATTATTTTGAGCACATGTACAGTACAGCTTTGCACTTAGGACAGTGTGTGCATGTAAATGAGTAAAAATAAATTAATAAAGTTACATATATCGAGCCAAAAATATTAGTTGAAATACTTTATGTAGACAGAGCTTGGATGGCTAAATTTTAGAATGACCAATAATTTGAATATAAAAATGCAAAAATATTCAAGAACACGACCTTGATATTTACTCCACTGGAAACGATTGTAAACATAGAACCGATTACTGCATTGGCGGACTAGCCTATCAGCTGATGTGCACAACAAAGCGTGTTTCTCGTAAGGCTGTCGTTAATCAAAGTTTTGTTTGTTAATGGAACTGAAAATCCTTATGGGAGCTAATTCGTTAATTGAACCGTTCGTTAATTGAGGGACCACTGTACAGTATATTATATAAATAATGGTTTTAAGGTTTCTTGAAATCTTGACAAGCCTTGGCTTTAGCTTTGGCTTCATAACTTTTAATGTCTGGGTTCAGCTTCGGCTTTGTGACATTCCAATGGCTTTGGCATCGAAGCCGGAGAATTGGCCTTGTCCCCATGTCTGATGGTAACATGGTTGTTGATAATGAGGAAATCATGGTAACGGTTGTTGATAATGAGTGCATCATAGTAACATGGTTGTTGATGATGAGTGCATCATGGGAACATGGTTGTTGATAATGAGGAAATCATGGTAACATGATTGTTGATAATGAGGGAATCAAGAATGCCCAGGGAAAATACTACGATGACCACTGAATGAAGAGTATGAATGGGATAGGCAACCTAAGAGTAATAGAACCAGTACAGGGACTTGATGTCCTGCAGTTGGTTCCTTCACAAATTCATAATTTTCAGTCATACTGTACCTGTACTTGATTTCCCAGGGAGTTTGTGACTTTATTTGTATCTCAACGTTTCATTTGGTTATTGCTTTCCACATACCCTGTAATTGCTTCTCATGAGACTTAAAAGATTCTCTACATTCTTTGTTGTAAAACCTTTTTACTATCTTGGGATCATTGTTGCTGAAGACTAATGTGACTGAGCTATGTTGGTTATCCTTTTTAGTCAGTGGCAATTTAGACAGGTAATTGTTGGTGAATTTGTCTTTTAAAACATCTATTTGGATACTGGGAGTTGTAATTATATAAATACTTCTCAATAGGTGAAGGAATTATTGCGAGTAGTCATTATGCAGAGCAAGAGATTCAGGCTCGCCTAGATGGTCTTGATTCTCTATGGAAGCAGTTGCAAGATTCATCTCAACTGAAGAAGGATAGACTAAATGAAGCATACCAGGTAAGATTAAAGATCAATCACATTGAGTTTGTAGTTCATAGTAATTGTGAACATAAATGAGTATGAAACTTTATTAATAATTTAATTACACTTATTACTCCTGGTGTTGTTTTGTTCTTCTCAAATTGTGTCATGTGAATTGGTAGAGAAAGATGTCATTTTAGAATAAAGCTCAAGAGTTGTAATCAATTAATTTTCTCAAAATATAAATTACTTCCAGGCTTTGCTCTTCAGTCGTACACTTGATGACCTTGAATCCTGGATGGATGATGTAGAGACCCAGTTGCAGTCTGAAGATCATGGCCGTGACCTAACATCTGTCCAAAGTCTTCTAAAGAAGCATCAACAACTAGAGGCCGATGTTGCAGCGCACCAAAGTGAAGTGGACCAGGCAAGAGAAGTGGCTCAGTCCTTCGCTTCAGCTAACCACTTCATGAGTGAAGACATTACAGAAAGAGTAGAGACTGTTACTAAAAGGTGAGATTTTTTGTCATTCTTTTTGTGAATTCTTATATTGATAAGTACCTGTAGATGCTTGACAAAGAAGATACATTGATAATGTAACAGTGATGTAGTTGAGATTATTTGTAATTACTGTAGATCCTTTATTGATCACCTGAAGATTAGCTTCCCAGATATTGATCCATAAAAGATGAAATTGCAAATGATCTTAATTAGATAACTGTAAGGCATGGTCTTGTCCTTTAACAAATCATTCTTTATCATAGTTAACTTAAGGTTTAACAGATGTATTCCAGTTCCCCAAGGGAACTGGAAAGGTTATTTTCCGTTTTTTTTTCTAGTTTGAATTTCCTATAAATTTCTATTATATAATTGAAGAAGTAGTCTTATGGACAAATATTTTCCCCTGAAATATACTAAAACAACATTTAAGTCTTTTTAAATTTATAAATATGTAGAGGTTGACCTCATTTATCACAAGGGTTCCATTCCTGAAAACCCCTGAGATGTGTGAAATTGCATATGTGAAACTAATTTTGCCTTAAGAAGTGTAATAAGGGGAGGCATTCCTATCAAAGAAATTTAGGGATACATGGGTTGATTTTTTGTATAGAAGCACTTAAAAGATAGATGAAAAGCATTAAGTACAGTATGTAGTCTCATTCAAGATTCTTCGAACACTGCTGGAGACAGCTGGTAACTCAAGGCCGTTTGTTTACTATAGTACGTAGTATAATATAATAAGAAACAACAAAGCCCAACCATTAAATTAAGCAACGGGGAATTAAGTAACCAATTACCGATCACTTTTACATTTACAGTGAAGCCTCACTTTACGCGGTCAATTGAACCCACAACGGCCCGTGTAAAGTGAACAACCTAACATATGGGATTAATTGAAATAGAGCCCGGGCCGACCCCCAAACTCCACTTTTTCCCGACACAATACGTACGTTTTACTAAAAATAACATCTTAACTTTATGATGGTATTCACACACACATAATATAGAAGGGAACAATCAATAAGAGAATAATATACTGAAGGTTAGGTTACAAAAAACAAGGTTAGGGTTAATACTTACGTTAGTAGAAGAGATGGGTCGGCGTACGGGAATGGAGGCTGGTTCCGAGGCAGAGGGCAGGCTACTGGCCCTCAGGCGAGTCTTCATCACTGTCATCCACACTTACTAGTGCCTCCCTGACAGATCCCTCAAAGTCATCATCACTGTCTCTGTCACTGGCTTGGGCTGGCTGTGGTGGGTTGCGGGCGAAGAACTCGGTTATGCTTTGCTGACGGCTGGTGTTTATGTTGTCGTGATACACCTTGATGTAGGGCTCCATAGTCTGCAACAGCTGGGTAGTGAAGATTTCATACCTGTTAGCGTCAGGGTCGTCGGAAAGGAGGAGCTTGACTTTCTCCGTACACTCAATGGCACCCCTTACATTACTATGGGATAAGCGGCGTTCTTCTTGGGATGACGCACCACCTGCCTCTTCACTGACGTCATCATCTTCTACCACCTCGTCGGTAGTCACATGAGGATCCCTTATCACCTCCAGGATGTCATCGTTGGTGGTCTCGGAGAAGCCTGCAGCTGTAACACTCTGCGCAGCTTCTCTGGCAAGGTCCACTGCTATTGCAACAGTCTGAACCTCACCAGTCACAGATTTACTCTGCCTCCCACCCGGAATACCTTGCAACACATGTCTCCATGCGTGACGAACAGTTGCTACAGACAGCTGATCCCATGCCTCCACCAAGAAGTACACAGCTTTCTTGACGTTGAATGTTCTCCAAAATTGTCTCACAAGTACTTCTTGCTCTGCCAACTGTTGTTCCTCGTCATCTTCGCTCTTACTATCGGTGTCACTCAGGTTACGCATCTCTTCCTTGGTGTTGGTGTAGTCGTTCAGGAGCTTGAATTTCTTGGCAGAAAATGCAGCTTTCACATTACAGATCAATTCTTGGTCCATGGGCTGTATTATAGACGTAGTGTTGGGAGGAAGGAAGACCACTTTTACGTTTGGGTGACGATCTAACAGTAGGGGCGAGTGTCCTGGTGCGTTGTCAAGCAGCAACAAAATCTTGAATGGAACATTCTGTTGCTCACAGAATTTCTTAACGTCAGGAACGAAACAGTCATCAAACCAGGAGAGGGACAGAGTAGGGAACATCCACGCCTTATGTGCGGTCAGCCAGTGGACATTTAGCTTGGTCATGTCCATGCTCTTGTAGGCGTGCGGCTTGCGTGCTGTGTGGATCACCGATAACTTGAGCTTACAGGTACCGGAGGCATTGGTGGTAAACAGGACGGTGATGCGCTCCTTCTGCAATTTCCGGCCCCGACACTTGCTGGCATTCTTTACAACGAAGGTCTTGGAAGGTAGCTTTTTCCAAAAAAGACCAGATTCGTCCATGTTAAACACCTGGCCGTCGGTGTACTGTCCTTCCTCCATAATCTCACGTAAAAACGGAGGAAATTCCCTAGCCGCAACACGGTCAGCACTAGCTTCTTCACCTCCAATGTTAATATTGGTGATCTTGTTCCTCTTCATAAACCTCTGTAACCACCCAGAGGAAGCATTCAAGGGTTTGGGCTCTGCAATTCCCATCTTTCGTGACACTGCAGTATACAGTTCACATGCGTTTACTCCTTAACTGTGTGCTTGTCCACCGCCATGTTCCGTCGCGCCTGACGAACCAAGTAGCTCACAAGTAATTTTTCCGTCTTGAGAAGCACCTGGTTGTGGCAGTACTTGATCATAGAAGCACCTGTAGACTTTGTGATGTTCATGTGCTCCTTTTTCTTGGCTGCATCCTTCTTAATTTTCCTGATAGTTGATTCGTTAACACCATGCTGGCGCGTGAGATCAACCTGTCTTGTTTCTTTCTCCAACTCTTGTATGATCTTTTACTTAATTTCGTAGCTTAAGGAACGTCGTATCTTCTTTGGCTTAGGGCGGCTGGGTCCAGGTAATGCAAGGTTTCTTTGTGGTGGTGGTGGTCCGGTGTTAGCCATTCTTATGGAACAATGGATACCGATATACACGGTGTAGCCGGGAGCGGTGTAACTGACGCGGGTAGGTCAAGGGGCTTGAACGCTCCCTCGGCGGGGCACGTCATAGTAACTTAAACCAATCCCAGCTAGCGGGGAGGGAGTTAAGGATGCTTGGCCCAATCACAGTCCGATACGTCATATGATGTCACCGATAACGCAACAAAGACATACACTGCGCAACCTACTCGCGCCGCTCACACAACATAGCGGATGGCGGGAGAGATGGCGGGAGGTTTGGATCCAAAAATGGCGTGGCGCGAGAGGACCGCCAGCTGCTCTCCGCGTAAAAGGATACACACACTGCGTAAACGTGGAAACGCGTAAAGTGAAACCGCGTAAAGCGAGGGTTTACTATATTCATAATTTTTACTACGTACAGTAAGATCTTGTATTTCTTGAGTAATATAGACTGGAAAAATTGGGCCAAATTCAGATTTGCAAAATGCAAATACATAAACTAATGAGAAAAATAACAATATAGACTGGCCACTCTACATCAACCTCTGATTTCCCCATTTATAACCTCCAGATGATACAAATTCTGCCTTTATTGACCTGATTGTGCTTTCCGGAAACTAGTTTTTAGACCTTCCTCAAGTAACTTAATCACACGTTGCTTATCCTGCATCGAGTACTTGGCAAACTTAACTCCCTTATAATAGTCCTGCTTCTCCTTTTCTTTATTTGGCCGCTTAGGAGGGTTTGTCCCACCAGCACCAGTAGGCCCCCAGTAGAGGTAGAGGCCATTATCTTGATTCGACAGGTGGTAGCACCACCCAAAAAAGCGCACAATAACAGCCTGGGTGGTCGCTAGGATGGTGCAGGCAACAATGCGATAGTTGCTTTCTTGTAAACCTCTTTTGCGTTCACCACCGGCAATTCGATCGCCAGAACGCTTCCTGGAAACATTTTTCTTCCCTTGTCTTTCTATATTCATCGCTAACACAACAAAATTGGAGAAAACAGCGAAAATCACGTAGCAATCGACAAAAACCGTGCGATTCAAATAATGACGTGATGTAAACAGAGAGCGCTGGTGTAAACCGTTATTACCGGTAGTCCTCACTGCGAAACATTCTTTTTACATAGTCTTTTCATACAGTATTTATGGGTAACAGCTAAATTTGCAAAAAAAGAACGAAATTTACTGAGTGCCTCTCAAAAAACACTTCGTAAACAAAAGACACGAATCAATTGAACATGTGATGTTGAACGTTAACTGTAAACATTGCATAAACCCTCGCCACGCTTAAAACGTTGAGGATGGAATCGCGCTATAGCCAACATTTGTATGCAAAAGTTCACGTTTTACAAAGTGTTCCCCTATTCATCAATCGCATTACAACCAATTTGCATTGACAAAACACTCGTAACAGAAATGACTAACTGATATGAGGGCTGTGACGTTATTCAAGACGGTGGCCAGCATTCATCTTGCTGGATCTCGTTTAATTCACGATATTTTACTCCAAATATAAGACTTGATTACATTGAGTAATGCTCGCAAAATTCAAAAACGCTTAATGAAATCGCATGAAATATGAGATCTTACTGTACTAAAGTAAACAAACGGCCTTGAGTTGCCAGCCTTGGAATTTCATACTCATAATTCGGTAAAACTCGGAATGGCTGTAAATTTATTAAAATTATTTTTTGGGTGAAAAATATTTTTTTTTTAGATAAACTTTTTTTTTTTTTTACATAACTCACAATATTCTGAGACATTATGATACAATCTTGGAATGACAGAATATGTGTGAAGCATGGGAGGCTCTGCCTAGTCATCCACCCAGTTATGTATCAGTAGGCCTAGTGAAATGATACCCACCCACAGTCACTGTACTTATTTTCAGGTATTATTTGCAAAGTGCAATTCCACCTGCATTGAAAATTTAACCAGTAAATATGTACAGTAACTCAGAAAATTATCTCCACACACACAGTGAAATATTGAGGCCACGGATGATAGATATTGGGACATGCATTGACTTTGGTATATAATTTAACATAAATAATGCAATATGCATTTATTTTGGCGTAATTAATATGATGTTCATTTACCAAATATAGTCGAATCATTATGCCACAGAACCAAGCATACTAACCCTCCCGGGACATTACATGGTGCATGTAGCGTTTTGGAAGTCATCAAACTCATCCTGGCAGATACTACTTATTTGCTACTGTACAGTAGTGTTTAAGTGAATAATAACATTTGAAGTTGGTGCTGTAAGTGCTTATAATACAGAATTATACTGTATATACTGTACTGTAGTGCAGTCTGCCCCCCATCACCTCATACACCTACCAGCCTTTAATTATCTTCATCCTTTGCCTGCATTACTGGTTAGTGTTAAATTTTTTGCAAGTTTTCTGATTATGAGAGGTTATTCTGGCCCAAAAGTTGGTATTGGAGTGGGATGAAAGACTGCGGGGAAAATTGCCTTAATAACTCGGAATGGTTGGAACCCCATGCAGGTACACCACCGGTTTTCCGGGAACTGATGGTCCGGCACCTCCTTTAGTCCGGACAAAATTACGAAAGGGCACTTAACTTCCCTCCCTTCCTGCCATATTTTACTGGATTTACTGTTACTATGAGTGTTTACTGATATAATAATGCTTAATAGTTATTAATCATGGCACTGTAGCCAGGCTACTGAGGCAAACTCATATGGTGGACAGTTGGGAGCCGAGATACCGAGAGTGGGTAACATTAGAGAGGATATTACCATTAAGATGGATGGATGATGGAGATGTGTCTGAACCAGGGGCAGGCTGAAAGAGAATCCGAGTCTTACGTACATTCACCTCAAGGCCGAAGTGTGCATACGCATCTGCGTAGGTGTTCAGGATCTCCTGTAGGTCGCGTTCAGTGTCAGCAACAAGGGTGAGGTCGTCTGCTAACTGAAGTTCAGTACTGGAAGCTGCCAACACCTTTGTTCCTGCCTGGAGTCATCTTATTTTGAAAAGATCCTTCATCCGGTGCTGTTATTTGTTGTATTTTTAAGCAATTGTTGGATAACACATCCCAACATGATTGTTAGTACACAGGTTATTATTCTTGTCTCTTCAAAATTCAGGCACAATTCCTTGCATGAGCCAATGCACATCCGGCATGAGAATTTAGAGGATGCCATGTTGCTGCAGCAGCTTTTGAGAGATATTGAGGATGAACTGCTGTGGGTAGCAGAAAAGGAACCATTGGCAGCCAGTCAGGACCTTGGTTCTTCTCTTACAGCTGTACAAAACCTGCAAAAGAAACACCAGGTTTGTAAATGTCTGTTTTTATTATGTAAAAGAGAAAGTCACTTTACACTTACTGTGCCTTATTTTCTGAAACTCATGATGAAATTTTTTTTTGTAAAGTTCCCCATTCAGACTTGAACATAAAGGCTTCGCTGTTATTTTACTCAGATTCTTCATCATGGGTTTCAAAACCTAACACTAGGGGTGTAACACGTCTTTTTTCTTTGGCTGTACTGTGCTGTATATATTTAATGAGACACTACATGTATACTCTGACCAAAAACTTCTCAAACACTATAAGCACTATGCAATCTGAAAAATGAACGAAGAATCTGAAACCATTCCGAGATGACAAGCCCCATTCTGCTCATTCTTACATCCATCGTGCCCGGGTATTCAAGAGGTTTTTTTTAGAGTGTGTTCCATGAGTTGGAGCTTTGATGTTGCTAGCTTTTTTTTATAAACAATATATAGCCACAACAGATTTGTGGCCTTTTCAAACTGAATATTTGTTAGTTGGAGACATACTGTACGTATTGTTAAATTTTTGTAAATCTTATTGTAAAAAAATTTTGTTTCAGGCATTGGAAGCAGAAATCCATTCACATGAACCAGTCATTAATAGTGTAAATAGCAGATCACAACAGATGATTAGGTCAGGCCACTTTGCATCAGCAGAGATAGAAACAAAGATCACTCGGCTTTTGTCACAACTAACACAACTGAAGGATACAGCCAGTATAAGACGACTCAGACTCCTTGATGCTGTCGAGTCACAAATGGTAAGTGGCTCCTTTTTATTTCCCCTCGGGTATATGGCACAATTTTTATTGTCATACCAACCAAGATTTTACTGAAACATGGGACATTATACTAAATGTTATTATACAATGTTTTAAAATTTTTATTCCCTGAAGATGTACATGTTCTTATTAATAGTGGTTATTTTATCATTCTTTTTGTTTTACGTAGTTCTATACTGAAGCCAGTGAAGCAGAGGGGTGGATGCGAGAGAAGAAACCACTGCTCCTCTCACAAGACTTTGGGAAAGATGAGACATCTGTTGGGGCACTGTCTAAGAAGTTGGATAATGTTGCACGAGACTTAGAGAGTTTCAAATCCACTTTAGAAAAACTGTCTGTCTTGTGCACTAAGCTTACAGAGAGAAGGCACTTTGACAGTGATAACATCACCAAGAAGATGGTATGTGTGTTGTGTGTTATAAAGCCGTTTTTAACCCGTAAATGGTGGGTAATAAATCCCTAATTCACCCCCCCCCCTTCATATGCACAAAAACTGGAACACAAGGAATATGCATTATCAAATGATGATGATTAAGGTTTAAAGAATATTAGAAAATTTAAGCAGTTCCTGTTTTTAGATGTACTGTATTGTCATTCTTCATATTCAGACACCTTTATATAAGCTACTTGAATTTCAACTTCATTTCAGTTCTAGTGTATAGTTAGTTATGACACTGGTTTATGTTTAGGATATACCACAATCACTTTGTTTGTTTGTTTGTGATGATTATAAAAAAGAAATGCTTAAATAGTAATAAATATCACAAGGAAGGGCCTCATAATTATGAATGTAATAAGGTGACTTTGGTGGTCCTGTTGACTATAAAGCCCCAGTCTGTTGGGACGTTAGAGGGCGGCATCTCTCTGGTAGTTTGAGATGAGAATGTTTCATTTCCAAAGTGTTTTTAGAAAACTGGCTTCCCTCAAACAGAAACCTTTGTTATTTATTGTTATATATACATAGTCCTAATTCATCTTCATACAGTATTTTATCTTTAATTCCTGGGAATTATAATTTTGAACTTGATACATTTTGTGTATCTGTTATCAAATAACTTACTGTTGTGGTGCCAGACGTCGTTATTATGATATCACTGTTTTAAGGCCATTTTCGATGATTGTGTGGGTTAGCCATGCATACCTGATCGGATAGTGTCCTTGTTGCCATCAAGCAAATTTTAAAGCCATAATTCCCTTCCTATTGCCATCCCACTTCTATCTGGGCATTATATGTAGAGGCCCTCTTAGCTAGCATGGTAGAGTTGCTACTCCCTTAACTAATGAATAACTATGGTTGACTCTTCCCATGGATGATAACTCCATTGAGAAGTGATAGGAGGAATTCTAGTTGTTCATAGGAAGAACCCAGGAAACTTAGTTTGGAAAAGGAAAAGCCATTTTTTAGCAACTTAGGTACACCTCGTCTTAGTTTTTGGAACATATTAGGACAGTGATTAGGAGAGATTTTTGAGAGATGAATGTGTGCTTTACCTAAATTCTTCTACCTATTTAAATCTGCAGGATAATGTGACACAACAGTATGCTGAACTGAAAGTTCTTCGGGAAAAACGAGCAAAGAGATTAGAAGAGAGTCACAAGTTATTTGCATTTCTTCGGGAAAGTGATGAAGTGGGTGAATGGCTAAATGAGCAAATGGCCATAGCAGCAAGTGAAGATTATGGCAGAGATGTAGAACACGTGGAAATCTTGATCCAGAAGTTTGAGTCCTTCCTCGGTGCTCTGGCTGTGAATGAAGACAAACTAACTAATGCCAAAGGGAAGTCTATAGTCCTCTTGGATGATGGACATCCTGAGCCAGAGCGAATCAAAGAAAAAGTGAGTAAAAACCTCAAAAATTTTTAATTTCATTTTACACCATCTTCAGTCAACAAGAATGTGTCCACAGTGTAAACACAAAACATTTGTACTGTATGTAAACAAAGCGCCTTGTACTGATTGTACGAGTGCATAAAAACAAAGAGAGCTGCTCTTTGCATGTTGAGTGTTTGGACTCGTGACTTTTGAATGCTTTTTATGTTTTTGTGAAATTTGTGCTTTTTTCTTTTCCCTAAAGCTCCAAGATGCAAGCAAGAGTGCTATAATGAAACGACTTTGTGTGGGTTAGCGTTATAAAGGGTATTGCTGTTCTCTGTTGGTCATATAATTAAGGATGAAGAAATAATATTCGACATTATACAGGTTGTACCTCTAGTCCGGCATTCTGTGGTCCGGAAACTCCCGTGGTCCGGAACGATTTTAGTTTGTCCAATAGGTAGATAGGCAGCTTTTTTTTTTTTTTAACTTATCTGAATTATTATGGTGGGCTAAAAAAAAAAAAAAACAAAAAATTAAGGTTTGTTTACATCCGGCAGTTCGGCTGCTCTCTCTCTCTCTCTCTCTCTCTCTCTCTCTGCCTGCTTGTCTATACAGAGTACAACATTTAACCCTTCAATATATATGAGCAGTAAATAAGTGTTGCTTTCATATTCTTATGTAGAGTAATGACGATATGTGTGCACTTACATACACGCAGTCTCATTTTTTTTTACTACTAATGGTTAGCTACTTATATTGTTCCATTTATTAACACTGAATAACATTACAGGTACTTCAAACAACCATATTAATTTTTTTACATTAATTTTACTACAGCTAAAATCAGGGTCTTACTTTCTTCAGTTTTATATGTAGAACCAATCAGTCACTGGTTTCGTAAGCTTTAACATAAACAATGCCGGCAGATGTCTCGTCTCCTCTAATATTCCACGTATTATTAATAAATTGTATTGTTAATTTTGCACACATACATTAATTCAATAAAAACAAATTCAGAAACATTAATTAAAATATATATGAACAGTAAATAAGTGTTGCTTTCATATTCTTATGTAAAGTAATGACGATATGTTTTCACGTGTGTGCATGCGCACTTACATACGCGATCTCTTTTTTTCTTTACCATTATCGTTAGCTACTTTTATTGTTCCATTTATTAACATTAAATAACATTACTTAAAACAACCATATTAATTTTACTACAGCTACAACCAAGGTCTTATTTTCTTCAGTTTTATATGTAGAACCAGTCAGTCACTGGTTTTGTAATCAACGAAAACAATGCTGTCATTTCCTTGTATGTTTTAATATTCTACGTATTATTAATGAATTGTATTGCTCATTTTGCACATAAACATTAATTAAAAAAAAAAGACATTCAGTAATAAACAATAATGAATCTTTTGTACATAAGAGAAATGACGCTGTTAACACGCTTATGCACGTCGTCTGCACATTGGCGGGCCGTTCAAACCCGTCGAAATTCAAGTTTCCACCATCAAAATTTTTATTTAGTTGTTTTGTGTTCCAATAAAATACGTTAAGAATTAAAAACTCGAAATTTAAGAAGCTACTATACGACATTTAACCCTTCAATATGTCTTCAAAGAGAACATGATGCAGAGAAAGTGGTGCTAGTGCTTCCAAGCATAAGTACAAGTCACTATCTATCCAGGAAAAGGGTGAATTTCCATGGTCCGGCACCGGTCAGGTCCCGAGGTTGCCGGACTAGAGAGGTACAACCTGTAATGGGCAAAACTGAGGGTAGGAGGGCCAGGGGATGGCAGAAACATGGTATGGATGAATGAAATTAGTGGAGTCTGCAGAATGATGTAAAATCTGGGAGGACTGATTAAAACAGCCCAGAAGCATTTAGAGTTGAGGACTATGGGTGCCAACCCTCAGACATGAAGACGACACTTTAATTGATTGATTTCCCAATGGGGTTGTTTATGTATTACTGGTGGCACATTGTTCTGGTACCTTGGTTAGTAGATGCTTTGTGAAATAATCTGCTTATTTCCACAATTTATGTACTTGATGTAAACACACAAATGAGATGACAAGATGCTTATGATTCATGTGGTAAAGTATCGATTTTTCCTGATCTTATAGTAAATCCTGACCTCTTGCTTTTATCAAATTTCCTTGAATAGTGTTGTACTGTACTTGAAAATTAGTTATTCTAAATATTTCATAATTTAGTCGAACTTGATACTCTATTGGTCTCTATCTGTTGGTCAACTTCCATCTTAACACCTACTGCATGGCGTGAAGTGTGGCAGCAGTCCACTTTTCATACGGAAGGTCAGTTGCCAGCTAGTGAATCAGTGTTGTCATCCATGCAGTCATTGAATTTACTATGTGCAGCATAACATATTTTTATATGTGCATTTCAACTTGCTGTGATGAATATTAACTCGTAAACTAACGAGACAAGAATAATAATGTTCTCCGTAAAAACAAATGAGTGGACCTGTACGCAAAAAACATTTACCTGTATTTTATTTCTTGCCATGAAATTTATGTATTTTCATCATGCTACCTGCATTTCATCTCACTGGTGAAAATTGACTTGTAAAAATAATGTTCTTTTAAAAAAAGATATACAGTTGGTCCTCATATTACGCGGTTAATGTAACCCGGAGGGTACCGCGGAAAGTGAGAAACGCGTAAAGTGAATAACATAACATATGGGATTAATTGAAATGGAGTCCGGGCCGATCCCCAAACTCCACTTTTTGACGACACACAACTATGTTGTAGTAAAAATATTATCTTAACTTTATGATGGCATGCACACACAATTAATAATTAAGAGAAATATCAATAATATTAGGTTTTTTAACACTTACATTAGTAGAAAAGATGGCTGGGCACACGGGGATGGGCGGTTGGTTCCGAGGCAGAGGGCAGATTATTGGCCCTCACCTGTATCACTTGTATCAATTGTATCACTATCCACCACAGAGGCTTGCAGGGCCTCTTTGTCAAACCCCCCAAAGTTCATATAAGTCCATATCCTCACTATAATTATCACTATCACTGACTTGGGCCGGCTGTAGTGGGTGGCGGGTGAAGAACTGGTCATGTTTTGATGACTGGGCGACCTTGTGCGCACCATTTTCGCGCCTCTTACACAACATGGCGGATGGCGGGAGGTTTGGATCCAAAAATGGCGCGGCTTGCCAGCCGCTCTCCGCGTAATGGGGTTCACGACCGCGGAATGTGAAAATGTTAGGTTCTGGCAAGGCACCGCGTTAACGGTGAAACGCGGAATGCGGGACCGCGTAATATGAGGACCAACTGTATATAGGCCTGTACAGTTACTTGATGGCAGCTAACTTGCAGCCTCCTTGTCAACTGCTTATCCTTGAGAACACATTTTACAACCTCTCCCCGTGTCATTCTTGGCTTAACCCTTGCTCTCCTCCCCTCCACATTTAGACTTGCATATCTTGACCCAATTGGTCTCCTTTATTTTCTCTACATGCCAGAACCATCACAGGATTTTAATATAATGAAAAATATGACCAGCATGATATTTGTATTACAGTAATATTTTTAGGGCTTTGGCTCATTAAAATATTTACCAAATTGTGTACCTTTAATCTGTCAAAATTTCATTGGATGTACATAATTTAGCTGTGATGGACAGTTGTAGTAAAGATATTTACAGAGAAAATGAGATTTGAACTAAAGTAAAACCTCGATACACCGAACTTCAATACACCAGAACTCGTTTTTTTCGGACTCTCCGAGGTGCTCCGGACCGTCCCTCTATTCACTTGAAATACTTTTAAAAAGTCCAGAAAAAATCCAGCATTAGTCCAGGTAGTTTGTGTGTTCCTGTGTGCAGTTGACCGTCTGTTCATCGGTGTCTTGCAGCATATGTCTCGGGGCACATGTCTCGGTCTGAATCCTGCCTTCATATGTATCATATCCGTGTTCCACATTGTTACCTATACAGTACTTATTTACGGTATGTGAGGTTTTTATGTAGAATCTGTATTGTCTATAACAGAGATACTTGAAGGATTTAAGAAATGGGTTAAAATGATGTAAGAATACTCTCCATATTTTAAGAATTGGGTAAAATTAAAAAGAAATTATTATGAAAAGAACAACACCTGTTTACTGAATACTGTTCAGTGGTCTAATGAAATTTGCTGTAGGCCTAACGAGAGCTAAGACACTGCATATGTTAACAGGCTGGGGGTTGCAGGGGAGTGGGGGTTGTGATTGGACATTGTTGTATTTGCCAGGTTTATTTACCGATTCATTGTTATATTCTTATATGATCAGCCTCTTAAGGTGTGTGATTCATCATGATAAATATAAAATCTTCAATAATAGAAAAATACAAAATGTTATTTGTAATTTGACTTGAAAATAAAAGGATAAGCTATATCGGAAGGTATTCACTAAGGATGCGTTTCTGTGAGAGCTTTCAGCAAATCAGTTTACAACAGGGTCACTATAAACACTGTATAATATTTGATATGCAGTTACTGTACCTTCCTAGCAACATTATTTATTGCCTCTGAGTGATACATGATGGCTCGATTTGACTACTTATACACCCAAGTCGGATTTGTACGTAAGTTGGAACACATGGTGTGTGCATACCGTACTTACAGAGCAATGTTTAAAATCCCTTTATATCAAAGCTTAAGTTCTTGGATATATCTAAAATCACTTAATTAAGACAAAATAAGAAATAAAATGACAAAATACAATAAATGAAAGTAAAAAATAAGTCGTCAGGTAAATAAAATACTGTAAATTTTATGTTTAACCCCATTCGTATTGGTGGGCATTCTTAAGTCAGGGACTCCTTGTACTGAACAAACCAGGGAATATGCAGATGCATAATTCACTACAACATTAAAGTATTTATTAAGTAAGTGTTGATAAATACACTACAATATTATTTATTAAGTGATAATACAGACAGATGTTGTGATAGCATTCAAGGGAGAGAGGGGGCTAGGCCGATCAGCTGTTGCATTGTGTAAAGAAATTACTGCAATGACTCATTTTATTGAGTGTGGGATTCTTTTTTGGGGAAAAGTAGATTATTTTATTGTAATGTTTTATCAACCCCCAGCACCAAATGAACCTAAAGGAATTGCCTTTCTTTTTTCAGATTTTTTAATTTTCCTGGCTGGAGTCTGTCCCAATTAGTCTGGAGTAATGAGGTTTTACTGTAAAAAAACGAAAACAAAATAATAAACATGATTTTAATTTATACTGTATGGTCATTTAGCAACAAAAGTATTCTATTTATAGAGTGGAAATTACTAGTTTTATTGTCTGCTTGACAGTTTATAAAATACTATCCTTTAAAACCTTGTAATATTATTTCACTTGTGCAGTTATGTAGTGGTTTAATGTATTGTACAGTGCAGGATATTGTGTGATGAAGATTTAAAGAAAATTCCAATTGCAGGTCGATGAACTCCAGCAATTATGGGATGACTTGAAAGAGTTGGCAAATGCAAGACAGGAGGCACTTGCTGGAGCCAAACAGGTAAGCCATGACTCAAAAAATTTTTGATTAACTTCAATGTTATTTACTTCCATTTCAGTAGAGCAGTGCATTGACTGTGACTGTCATTTGGTAGGTGTGCCACCCCAAGTTAACTTAAAACAAGGAAATGTGTTGGAGAAGTATTAGCATTTACTGTACCCAGGAGTATTTTTGATGATGTTTTCATTGAGCATATATGTTGACTTATCCTTGATTAATTATTTTGTCGAGTGCAAATGTCCTGGAGAAGATTCCGACATATTCTAAAGTACTGCAGTCATGTTGTGGTCAACTGTAGTCTACAGTTACACAAAAAGTCCAGTTGAAGATAGTAAGGTTACAAACTTTATTCTGTATTTTTCTTTTATTGAACCCAAAATGTAAGTTTAATGTTTATAGTAAGCTCCATCAACTACACTTTAATTTAATCAGTAAAATTGTTGTAATCAAATGTGATTTTTACCATACTGAGTGACATAAAGAGTAACTTTGGAATTAATATGCTTCCCTGTTGGGTACTCGAAACACTTCAGGGCTTTGCCTTGCAAAGGATGCAAGGGGGTGCCCAATAAACTAGCTCCTACATGGGACAAATCTGAAACCTGACCTGATATGGCTGGTTTAAACTAAACACACTCATGATAGGGTCTTACTTAGGGAGTTTTAAATCTTCTTGCATTACTGCATTTATTAACATGACAACACTTAAATTGAAGACCTGATTCTTTTAAGGTAAGGAACATTGTTCTGTAATATGCACTTTTTAATTATATATACAGGCATCCCCCGCGTTACGGAAGGGTTCCGTTCCCGGAAAATTGACCGTATCGTGAAATTCCGTAATGCGAAACCTATTTTCCCATTGACTTCCATTATAAAACTGGAGATGCGTTCCTAAGGAATTTTTTCGGCCCCAAAAAAGTAATTCAAGCACTTTTATGAATGAAAATAAACATTTATAAACACATACAATACAGTACATTAAATAATTTATGATATACCTTCTTAAAACACCTATTTAGGGGTTAATATTGCATAATATTGCATTATGCAGCTATGTGTATGTTTATTTGAGTGCCCCGTCATAGGAGTCCGTTTTCTCTCACTTCAGCACTCCTGAGTCGTCCGTTTTCTCTTAATCTTAAGCGTGCACCAGAAACTATTATTTTTTGGTAGTGTGACAGAATTTGATATTGCAACTGGGGTTGCAATTGTTGAGGCAACTTAGGTATGTCTGATTACAGTTGGAATATTCAAGATCCATTGAGAGTGATGTTTAAAGCTTCAACTCTCTTTATGGTTGGTAAAACTTGTCAAGTCTGTCAGTCTGAATGGCATGTGTGAGGCCTTGTGTTTGTTAAAATTTACCCCAATTTCCGTAAGGGCGGATTTACGGGCCGTAGCACGAAATTATTGGTCATAATTTACAAATTCCTGAAGAGCGAAATTCCGTAACCCGGGTTTCTGTAACGCAGGGGATGCCTGTACTACAGTATGTACCGTATTTTATGGCATATAAGACGCACCCCCTATTTTAACGGAGTATTTAGGAAAAAACTTTGGTGTGGATTTTCCTCCTGTAGCCATAGTTTTCTTAATAAAATAATATATAGCATGCCCTTCAAATTCGCAGGGGATTTGTTCTCAAAATGGCCGCGAATTGCCAAATCTGCGTATAACATTTGCTGGGGGGGTACATTTTTACTTGTGTACAAAGAAATGTATATTCCCTGTGTGTTTTCCCTTTGGACAATTATTTCTTCTACCTGTATTGTATATATGTGTGTGTGTGTGTAGACATACACAAAATACATACAAATAAATAATAATGGGAAAATCCTCTCACAATCGGAAACAAATTTATTAAAAACGTGACAGTCCACCCTCAAGTCTACTCCTAACTTTGTTATTAATAAAGCATAGAGTAGACTTGAGGGTAGACTCACATTTTTAATAAATTTGTTTCCGATTATTTGTGAGAGGATTTTCCCATTATTATTTATTTTTGTGTGTTGTCTGTGTCTACACACATAAAAATATACAATACAGGTAAAGGAAATTACTGTCTCTAGAACGAATGGCTCCCTGTCCCAGCTGCGAAAATGCTGGCAACTTTAAAACTACCCACAGACATTCTTAGGTACATCCGGGGTATCATTTGCAAGTAATAGAGGGCTGCAAAATAAAAATTCGCGAATTATCCGGGCGTACTATAAACAGTACCAGTAAATGTGGGGAGTAAATAAAAATACCAATAAATAAGGTATAACCCAAAATACTGTACAGTATTGCCAAACCAATAAATAAAAGCCAAATGGAAGTTTAGCAGTCCCCATTTGCATATGCTCCCTGGTTCACCAGTTCACCATAGCAACGGAGACACTAACTCTGCCAGTTCCCTAGCAGTGCCCCCCCCCTCACATGGCTCGCCCTCTTCCCGCTTCCCCACTGAGCCAGCTAACTTGTATACAAAGAAATATATATTCCCTTTCTGTGTTAGCCATTAGGACAATTATTTTTTACTTTTTTCACAATATGTATATAGGATGGTGTGTGCATGTAACGAGTAAAACTAAATGAAGAAAGTTACGTATATCTACCTGAAAATACGAGAGGAAAAACAACCTTATCACCTCGCAGCTTGGCACAGCAGCCTGGTGGTTAAAGTGACGAGTCTAACCTGACCTGGCTACAATGCGGCCAGCGATGTTAACAGACACAAATTTGAAAAGAAGAATTATCTCTAAATCCTCCTTTGTATCAGATATTTGTAGATTTAAAAATAAATGTTGTAGGTATGGCATTAATAGATTGTGATGCTTGAAAGAGTTCAGAAATGGCTACTGCTTAGCTACCTTTGAAGAGTTGGGTGTCTGCTGTACTGAAGTTAATCGTCTCGGGTTATCATCTGTACAGTAGTTGTAAATTGAACTTCTATATTTACAATAACTATTTTTAAATTAATTAAAAATAGTAATAATGTGTTTAAGTAAGCAATAACATATTTTTAATTCTGGAGTTGGGTTAGGTAGAATTTAGCATACTGGAGACAGCAACTGGGGATTCATTAGCTTGCGGGATACAGCAACTGGGGATTCATTAGCTTGCGGGATACAGCAACTGGGGATTCATTAGTTTGCGGGAGACAGGAACTGGGGATTCATTAGCTTGCGGGAGACAGCAACTGGGGATTCATTAGCTTGCGGGGGAGACAGCAACTGGGGATTCATTAGCTTGCGGGGGAGACAGCAACTGGGGATTCATTAGCTTGTGGGAGACAGCAACTGGGGATTCATTAGCTTGTGGGAGACAGCAACTGGGGATTCATTAGCTTACGGGAGACAGCAACTGGGGATTCATTAGCTTACGGGAGACAGCAACTGGGGATTCATTAGCTTACAGGAGACAGCAATCGCATATATAGTACGCAGGCTGATATTTAGGCCATAAAATATGTTGTATACTTTCCAATTATTTATACTGTTTTTAGTGTTTTGTCTGCAGAATAGACCTAATATCTACATAGTAAATATAATAGGAGTAGAGAAAATGGGAAGTTGCTACCATTCTATTAGTTGATGTAATCAAATGTTGTCACATTTGAAAACTACATTCTTGCCTAGTTCATCTCAAGGCAAATACTGAAGTATTTCATCTTTCTTGTATTTTTGCTACATCTCTCTTTCAAGCTCTTATATTATTCTTTGCTACAAGAATTTGTTTTACAGACTTTGAAATGGCTTGAGATGAGGAGTGACTTAAAATTGAAACTGGAGTATGTAGAAATTGGCAACTGCCTCCATTTGTCCTAATACATCCCATGTTTTAATCCTAATTCTTGAGTGAACTATGCAAGTGTCTGGGATGGGTTTCAGACATTTCCATTGTTTTAGAATTACTGGCAACATACACAAATTATGGTAATGGCTGTCTCTATAGCGGTTATTACTTTATTGATAACAGTTTAGTCATTAAAACTTTTTTATATAATCCTCTGCAACCATGATTCACTTAACTGTAGCTCTCAATAAACTGTTTAAAGGACCAGCTTGATGGGAACATTCTCTGACACTGTAACTCTGCATTGTTGCAGTCAACTAATTTGTCTTAAACAGGAAGAGATGAAGGAATATAGCCCTATATGTAACATACGGTAATTTGAATTTGTGAGGTAAACCTTTATTTGTATATGGTCAATATTTTAAAAATTTGAATGGAAAAGTCCTGCTGTGTTTTACTCGCTGATTTTTCTGGTTGAACATGGGTCGCTTGAATGTATACAAGAAGGTGGTCCTTATTTCCATTAAAACAAACACTGTAGCCTTTTAACACATGTGCATGCATGTACAGTAAGTCCTCGCTTAATGTTGTGGTTCCGTTCCTGAAAACCGTGATGTTAACGGAATCAATTTTCCCCATAAGAAATAAATAAAATACGGGAGATACGTCCCCAACCTCCCTTTTCCCCATAAAATACATTACATATACAGAAATTCAATAGAATTTTTATAGAAAATAGTATATACAGTATATAAATAAACTGAGTCATTTTGTATTGTACTCAGTGTTGGACGGAGGTGGTGGAGTGAGTGTGTGGTGGGCATTGGAGTGGATGAGGAAGGCGGGAGAAGAGGAGGAAGGTGGCGAGTCACTGAGACTCGGCAGGTGGCTCCTCCAACCGGTTTAAAAACCTTCATTTTTGTAGCAAGGCTAATGTTCTTACGTTGCTTCTTCACAACACTAGCATCAGCAGCACTTGATGGATGCCTTTTAGAATGGTTAGAGTACAGTATTAAGAGCGTAAACACTTAAACATGCACGAACGCTGTGGTAGCTTAACAAAGACTGGCTGCGCTTGAGGACGCCGTGACGCTCCGCGGGTTAGAGCATAGCGCGCCAAGATGAGAGAGAGGGTGATGAGGCTTACAAAGTAGTTCATGACGACGTTATACTGAATCGGCGGGATGTTATCCGAATCATGGGTATTAGCAATGTTATAACGAAACGATGTTATTGGGGGCAAAGTTAAACGAGGACTTGCTGTATTCATATTTACATTTATTGAATTTAGGTATTATGAAAATTTTTACCTTTATAATGGCATCTCTGAAGCAATGAAATGAGTGTGTTGCAAGCATGAGGCATGTTATGCTTACAATATTGGCAGAAATTTGAAATAATGTTAGGATAAGGAAGATTTTGTGGTAAGTAAACACGAGGCGGTAAATGTTTATATTTAAATGCGTTAATTCCCCAACTGAAAACATAGTACAGTATAACTAATAAAAACAAAGAAATATGAATATACAATAACTTCCTCCATCTCCTCCCCTAAACATGCATGTTACTCAATTATAAGTCAACTCCTGGCTCTACCTATACCTGAGTGTATACCGTATGGTCGTACTCTAGATTTTTCTCCCACATTTTGTAAATAGTGGCTAAGAATTCATTCCAGTTATGTTGATTCAAATTATGTGTCCAATAATTTGAAGTTATTTATATCTATTTTATTTTTATTTTTTTGTCAGGTCCACGTGTTTGACCGTAACGCTGACGAGACAATAAGCTGGATTGCTGAGAAAGATGCATTTATTTCATCTGAAGATTATGGCCATGACATAGAGACCATCCAAAGTTTAGCTAGAAAACATCAAGGCTTTGAAAGAGACCTGGCAGCAGTAAAGGAGCAGGTATGTTATTATTTTGAACCAGTGGCTTTATTGTTGGTAACATCTTAACCCCTTCAATATGGGGACACCACTTTTAATATTTTATGTGGCTAATGCCAGATAACTTTATTCAGTGCAGGAGCAGCCCTGTTCATGAGAGGTTATTTGGTAGTAGCCTGTGTGGTGTAGTTTATACATGAAGTCATTACAATTGATGTACTATTCAGGAATTAGTCTAAAAAATTGTATTTCTTTGATATAGATTCATGTTTTGTTAGCCTATTTTTTATTTATTTTTTATAATTTTCATCTTGCTTATTTTGTACTAGGATGTGCTCATCTCCCCTTTTTTACTTTATGTACTGTGGTAACTAGAAACTTTCTTTAATTATTTAATTTTATTCTAGACCAAATGAAATAACCACTTTTAAATTTCATCCTAAAAAATCATGTTTAATTTTTTTTTAATTGAAGTGTTGGGTAAATATTTGTTGAATTGTCAGTTTCAAGATACTTACCATTGTTAATGTAAAAAATATCAATATAACTCATTGTGGTGTCCAAGTCGCCACATAGAGAAAATGATTCCAATATCATCTTTAAAGCCATATTTAACTTCAAATGTGAGGGGTTTTATATTCTTTTAAGTCTCCATATTTTGAAAAATATTAAAAATATTGTTTTGCTTTTAATTTTTGCCAGGTGGAATCTGTAGTTGAAGAAGCCAAGCGCTTAGCTGAACTTTTCCCAGATGCAAGAGAACACATTTCTGTCAAACATGAGGAGACAGTTGAAGCATGGAATGATCTTCTTGACAAATCTGCACAAAGGAAGGATAAACTATATCAGGCAGAGAAGCTACAGTCATACTTCGATGACTACCGAGAACTTATGTAAGGCTGTTAGTTTTTTCCATTGATTAGCATGTAGTTGTCAGACTTTTTATTCAGTAAACTGACTTTAAACTGTACCAAAAATCATCTCTTATGTTAGGGGACATGAATCTACCAGAATCACTTTGTACATGTGGCATCAGGTTGGGTGCCTTGGATTTCCTGGGAAGTATTATGGATGTGTTTCACACTATCTCTACTTCCTACAGTTTCAAGATATCAAGTGATTGGTGTTGACCAATCATTGCATTGTTTATCTCTGTACTTGTGCTATATCTTCCCCTCACACTGGTGCTAAAGTCATGCTTCAGAAAAGAGTACAGGTACACCACCGATTTTCTGGCACCCTTGGTTCCGTAGCCTTGCCGGATTATCTGTTTTGCCGGCCAACCGAGGTCAGGTAATATTATTCAACAATATACCTCTGACCCACTAATTATATGCCGCATGTGTCTCTAAAGCACCATGGACTGCTAGAAATGTAAATTAAACAAATATTAAATGTAAATTTAATGTGAAAAAAACATAATTTTGAGCAACATTACTGTACACACTTTGTACTCAAATGCACTTCACTAGACTAAAGTTTTTATCTTTTGTGCAAACTATGTAATGTTTATACTCAAATTAATCCCTATCTTACAAGGATTCCAGCAATGCAATTTATATTCTGCTAAGTCTAGTCAGCTACACTTTATAGGTAGTAGGCAGCTACCAAATAGGGAGGTACTACCGCCTGGGAAGATATGGAAGCTTAATGTATTGTCTAATGGTAGACCCTGCTGCCATATGACATCACGAAAATTGTAACCAAGTCCCAGGTTGCTGATCTGACTTTGTGCCTCATTTACACACAATTGCAGTCCCAAATGTTTCTCTTACTATTGACAACACAACATACATACAGTACAGTGGTCCCTCGGTTAACGAACACAATTCGTTCCAGAAGGTCATTCGTTAACCGAAAACTTCGTTAACCGAAACCATTGTTTCAATGGGATTTTGGGTAATTGGTTCCAGCTCACCGAAAATTACATACAAAGTAAAAAAAAAGTGCAGTAAAGTACACTTACTTTGAGGTGTGTATGTAGAAGAGCTCGTGGTTGATGATGATGATGGGAATTAGAAGTGGGGGTGGAGGAGAAGGGAGAAGAGAAGGAAGTGGGGGTGGAAGAGAAATCACCCCATGCTTCATGCCGTCTTTTCACCCATAAAATTTTAATTTTATTAGGTGTAATTCAAGATATTTTTTCTTTAAATCAACACGGCACTGGACTATATATTGTCAATATGTTAAATAAATTTCAAAATGACCAATAATTGTACTGTAAAAATGTTAAAATAGTTTATGTTCAAGAGAGCCACAAGCAAGATGTTACCTCCACTGACCAGAGATATAAACTGACACCTTGGTGGGTGAGTCAAGTGGCTGATTGACGCATCAAAAACTAGCTCCCTGTACTGCAATTACGTTAAATAAGTGTTAAAATGACTAGAAAAATTTAATATAAAACTTGGAAAATTATTGAATAGTACAACCATCTTGATATTTACTCAAATAGGAACGAATTTAAGCCTTAGAACCGATTACTGTATTGGTGGACTAATATGCCAGCTGGTGAGCAAGCAAAAACATGTTGACATGATTTCGTAAGAATTTCGTTAACCTAATTTTTGTTCGTTTAATCGAATTGAAGATTCTTATGGAAGGTAATTCGTTAACCGAAATTTCGTTAATCGAGGGATCACTGTACAGTGGTCCCTCGGTTAACGAACACAATTCGTTCCAGAAGGTCGCTCGTTAACCGAAACCATTGTTTCAATGGGATTTTGGGTAATTGGTTCCAGCTCAACGAAAAGTACATACAAAGTAAATAAAAATGCAGTAAAGTACACTTACTTTGAGGTGTGTATGTAGAAGGTTCCTGGTTGATGATGATGGGAATTAGAAGTGGGGGTGGAGGAGAAATCACCTTTCAGGGGACCCATGCTTGATGCAGTAATTTCACCAATATAATTAAGTTCACTAGGTGTAATTCAAGATTATTTTCTTTAAATCAACACTCTGCACTATTTATCATCAATATGTTACCTAAAGTTCAGAATGACCAATGAAAAATAAAAAAATATTCAAGACACCAACAAAATAGATGCTCTCTCCACTGTTATCAAAATTTAATTGATGCCTTGTGACCGACTCACGCATCTGATGGGAGCACAACAAACTAGTTCCCTGTACTTCATTTATTTTCAATATGTTAAATAAATGTTAAAATGACTAATAATTTTAATATAAAACATGCAAAAATATTAAAGAGCACAGCTTTATTGATATTTACTCCATTGGCAACGAATGTAAACATAGAACAGATTACTGAATTGGCAGAGTACCCCATCAGCTGATCAGCTGATGCTCACAACAAAATGTGATATTTGTAACTAGTTCCCTGTACTGCATATACAGTATTATCAATACAGGTATGTTAAATAAATATTAAAATGACTAATAATTTTAATATAAAAAATGCTGGGATTCCATCAGGCCCTGAGACTTTATTATTTTTCATCTGTTTGATGAAGGATAGTGGAGGTGGGTCAGCTCTGCTGAGACAACTGTTGGGTAGTCAGGACATACACATTGGTGTTTTGGTTGAGCAGCAAATGGTAGTGCTCTTTCCAGCACTGAAGGAGGCCTTCTTCGTCTTAAATTAGTGTGTTACCGTCGGATGAGCGGAGGGGGGCTGCTCCATGAGTGATTGGCCCATAAAATGTTTTAGTTGATTTGAAGAATTTGTGCATCTTATGTTGATCTGGAAGTTTTTGCATTTCACATGCTTTATTTTTAAACCAGTCGTTCTTTAGTTTGCGAAGTTCGCGCTGGGCCATCGCCTTCTTATTGCAGAAGGGCTTTGGTCTGAGACTGAGGGTTGTTATTCTGCCAGTCAGTTAAACAGCACTTTTATCATTAATGCACACATTGATTTCTGGATCATTTTTATCAAACCAGTCCTGGTGTATTCTTTCGATCCGGCTGAGGGTCTCTCTGCAGGTTTTTGTCATGATTGTCGAGAATACCCCATTTGGCACTGGGATTTGGGTTGTTTGTTGTCAGGTTGTTTATCAGACCAAGTTTGAGCTGCCCTCTGAAAGCATGTGCTACTGCTGGATCCTCCAGATGCTAAGTGTTAAAACCTCTAATGGAGGCTTGATGCCTTCACCATTTTGGGGCAACGTGAAGTGAGAGCTTGGCTTTGACAAACCTATGATCGTTGCCGCAGTGGTCTGAGCCACGCATTGCTCGGGTGATGAGAACATCTCGGCGATCTCTCTGACAAAGATGTAGTCATTGAGATGCCAGTGTTTGGATTGTGGGAGTTGCCACGAACCCTTGAACTTGTTGGCATGCTTAAACAAGGTATTGGGGATAGTGAGGTTGTGTGCAGCACACTTGCTGAGGAGGAGTAGGCCATTGGGATTACACTTGCCTACTCCATTTCTCCCTATGTATTCCCTGCCAAATGTCAGCATCTCTGCCAACTCTGGCATTGAAGTCACCAAGGAGCACAACCTTATCTTCTCTGGGGATAGAGGTTAGCACTCTGTCAAGGTCGGCATAAAAGGCCTCCTTGATGTCATCCTCTGTATCCAGTGTTGGGGCATATGCACTGATGAAAAAGGCATGACGCGAGTGATTCAGTGGGACTCGGAGCGTCATGAGGCGCTCGTTGATCTCAACAGGTATTTCAGTCAGCCTGTGTAGGATGCGTTGGCAGATGGCAAGGCCAACTCCATAAATGCGGTTTCTCTCCACAGCAGGCTTACCTTTCCAGAAGAAAGTATAGCCAGACCCCAGTTCTGTGAGTCGACCCTCATCTGGGAGCTGGGACTCACTAATGGCTGCTATGTCGATGTTATATCTGGCCAGTTCTTTTGCCACAAGGGCGGTTCTTCTTTCAAGATGCTCATTTGTGCCAGTATCCAGAAGAGTCCTGACATTCCATACAGCGACCTTAAGAGGTTGTATAGTTTGTATTTTTGTTTTGATCTGGGATTATAATTGTGCTTTTGACTGCATAAGATTGACCTTACTGGGTGCAGTTCCCCAGTCAGGTTGGTTTTTTAAGCAGGCTTTGTTTGGGGCACCATTTCTAGCCCCCTCCCCATGTGGGGTGAGTAGAGTGGCTCCTCAAAGGGGCTACACAGACAGGACTGGATTGCACTGCTGCCTAGATCCCAGTGCATAAATAACCATTTTATCTGTGCCACCCATGTGCAGAGTTGTCACTAGAGACTCCCAGCAGTCTTTTCTGCCTATCCCTGTCACCACTTTTGGGGTATAGGGGTTTGAGTATGATGAGCTGGATGATGGTTGCGTGTGAGTTGATTTATGTGGTGAGACAGGAGTGCAGACTGCAACCACACATCTTGGCTCTCCCTTTTCCTGATCCAGTGGTGTAAGTGTTGCAATGACTGGGAGAGGTAGAGTTGCAATGGACTGCCAATAGCCCAGTTTGTTGCATTTCGCCTTGGTAGCCTGTCCATCATGCATTGCCTTCATCTGCCAGTATAATCGATGGGTTCCCATGTTGGTCATCCCTTCCACCTATACCACTTTTGGAGGTCTTGTTGGAACTCTGTAAGCATGTCTGCCTGATGTGGGGCTCCACCGCAGATTTTTCATTCAGGGTTTACTCCTGTAGCCTAATTCCTACCAAGGTTAATCTGCAAGGCAGCGGGGCAGTGGTTGGTAGGCGCCAGGCCGTGACCTCATGCCAGTGGACCTATGTGCCAGGCCGTGTCCACATGCCAGTGGACCTATGCGCCATCCCTCTGGGCCCATTGCTACTCCAAGATCCCCTGCTGGTCTAGCCTGGACCCACGAGGCCCCCAATTACCATGTGTTGCCACAAGGAGGCACAACTGAAGTCTTGATGGTGAAGAGGCTGTGTACTGGCAGGTGAAGACTAATGCAAGTTGCTTCCCTGTTCGCCATGTGGAGCGAGGAAGAATTCTCTAGGAAGTGGTTGGTAGATAAGAGGAAGCAAGCCAGCCGTGCTTGCACCTTAACACTGATACTAGATGCATTACACCATTTGTGTGTGCGCGCGCGCACACACACACACACACACACACACACACACTTTCTCTCCAGGTTATGCTCTAAAGTGAGATTTTAGGACCAATTTCTTTTAATTTTTGTCATACTAGTGGATGTGATTAGTACCAGTACTCTCATGCTAAAATGAAATGTAAACTGGTTGCTTGTTGGCATTCTTGGTCTTGGTATACAAAGTTGACTTCTTTTTTTAATGGAGATTAGCCCACCTGAGCATAGGTCACTGACCCACATTAGAGCCTGAGGGCAAAAATATAATAATAATAATAATAATAATAATAATAATAATAATAATAATAATAATACAGGTTGGCAACCCTTTATCCGAAAACCGAAAAGCTCTGAAAACCGAAAGTTTTTGTGGAGTTTTTTTTTTACAGGGATTAGCCCACCCAGGCATAGATCACTGACCCACATCGGGGCCTGGGGGGGGGGGTGCGAAAATGTAATAGTAATACTAATTATAATAATAATAATAATTACAGTATTACCCCGCCTAACGCAGTTTCACTTAGCGCGTTTTATCATATACGCGGTGCCTCGCCAGAGCTGAACTTTCACTTAACACGGATTTTTTCATCATATAAGCGGTGAGTGTCCGGCTCGAGACGCTATTTTTAGATTTGCCCCACCTGCCACCCTGCCTGACTGCCTGTTTTAGCTCAGAAAATTCATACAAATTACCCGGCCAGAATATAATTTACATTGCTGGAATTCTTATAATTTGGTGATCATTTTGAATATAAACATCATATATTTTGCATTAGACATACAAATTTTAGATAAAATGCTTACTCTTGAGTAAATATGTTATCTTTTGTGCAAAATATATGACATTTATATTCAAAATATTCCTGGTCTTACAAGGAATCCAGCAATGTCAATTATATTATCCTAACTTTAGTTTGAGGTATTATTTATTAAAATTTAGTGGTTTTCCCCCAAAAATTTCTCAGAGAGGGAAGAGCCAGTGTAGTGTGAGAGGGGAGGGAGTTGAGTCCATTATTTGAATGGACATTAACTTGGCGACTGTATTTCTCTATTTCTCTTAAGTATTAATTGTGTGCATGTACCATCATAAAATTAAGATGTTATTTTTACTACAACATAATTATGTGTCTTCAAAAAGTGGAGTTTGGGGGTCGGGCCGGTTTCTATTGGAATTAATCCCATATGTTCTGTTGTTCACTTAACGCGGATTTCACTTAACACGGGACCCTCTGGGTTCTATTGACCGCGTTAAGTGGGGTACAACTGTATAATAATACGTACCTGTAATTATTCATAGTAAATAAAAATTTTAATTAAAAAATACACCAAAATAAAATAACAATAATAATAATAATAATAATAATAATAATAATAATAATAAAGAAATACAAGAATGAAAAAAAGATCAAAAGTGAGTAACGTGACCTAGACCTATGAATTATTATTATTACCATTATTATTATTATTATTATTATTATTATTATTATTATTATTATTATTATTATTATTATTGTTATTATTATTATAGTTATTATTATTATTATTATAGTTATTATTATTATTATATTTTCGCCCCACAGGCCCCAATGTGGGTCAGTGACTTGTGCCCAGATGGGTTAATAACAAAAAAAAAAAGAAAAAAAAACATTATGAAAACCGAAAAATTCCGAAATCTGAAATGCCTCTGGTCCCAAGGATTTCGGATAAGGGATTGTCAACCTGTAATGATAACCATAAGTAAATAAAATATCTAAAAAACAAAACAATAATGAGAAACAATATATGTATGTTGTGTTGTCAGTAATAAGAGAAACAATTGAAACCATGCAATTGTGTGTAAATTAGGTAGAAAGTCAGATGAGCAACCTGGGACTTGGTCAGGACTTGGTCACAATTGCCGATTGGAAATCTTGTTTCAATAGCAATTCATCGGTTTATACTGCGATAAAAGTAACAATGGACCTTGTGAAATTGCCACAGTTCAAACACTTGTGAGGCATCTGGCATATAAAGTAATGTTTAGAAGGTTGTTGGTTGTGGCTTGCTGAATGTACAGTACTCTTCTTGTTTTGTATTGAGTCATGTGCAGGCTGTGAAGACAAAAGAATGTTTTTGTATTTTCTTATTTATTATGAGCTACTGAAGTGTCTAGTTTTTAATACTAGAATTATTAAAATGTATTTTTCTTTTAGGGCTTGGCTGAATGAAATTTTGGCAAAAATCACTGCGCCCGAGTTACCTAAAGATGTCTCTGGTGCTGAAGCAGTTATATCAAGACACAAAGAATACAAGACCGAGATTGATGCCCGTGCAGATTCCTTTGACAATTTTAGTGCAGCTGGTAATGCACTAATTGATCAAGGTCACTTCATGGCAGAGGAAATAGCTGAGAAGATAGCAACACTGGAGGCTCGCAGGAAATTGCTCATTGAATCTTGGCAAGCAAGAGCTACCATATATAATCATAATCATGATTTAAGAGTTAGTATATTCTTTTATTCCCTTGAGAAGTTTAAGATTTGTATGTCGAAAATTTTTTAGTGTAAAATATGAACCAAGTCTGATAGATCACAAAGTGCAGTCTTATCCACTCTTTAATTGTGGATGTGTCATAGATAAAACAGGTAGATGTTGAAGAAACTAAAGAGAAAAACTGCTTTAGATATGTGGTTGGTGTTCTTTATTACATATTGCAATGTGTGTGGTTGACTGGATGATCTTTATTACAAGGTGTGGTTGATGATCTCTATTACAAGGTGTGGTTGATGATCTCTATTACAAGGTGTGGTTGATGATCTCTATTACAAGGTGTGGTTGATGATCTCTATTACAAGGTGTGGTCGATGATCTCTATTACAAGGTGTGGTCGATGATCTTTATTACAAGGTGTGGTTGATGATCTTTATTACAAGGTGTGGTTGATGATCTTTATTACAAGGTGTGGTTGATGATCTTTATTACAAGGTGTGGTTGATGATCTTTATTACAAGGTGTGGTTGATGATCTTTATTACAAGGTGTGGTTGATGATCTTTATTACAAGGTGTGGTTGATGATCTTTATTACAAGGTGTAGTTGATGATCTTTATTACAAGGTGTAGTTGATGATCTTTATTACAAGGTGTGGTTGATGATCTTTATTACAAGGTGTGGTTGATGATCTTTATTACAAGGTGTGGTTGATCTTTATTACAATTATATGTGTTGTTTACTGGATGTTCTTTATTACTATATGTGTGGTTGAGTGGCCGTTCTTTTTTATGATGTATATAAAGATGAACATTTTCATACCGGCTTTAGATAGATAATTTTTGAAGTTGATATTTTTTTTTCTCTATTCTCTAGGTTTAGTATTTATAAAGGATTTAATGGTCTTAGTTATTATTCTGAGAGGACTAATGTGCTGAATTCTTGTCTTAATCAGTCTTAATATAAATAATTTATTATGTGCAATAATGCAGAGGGAAGAGGAATTCTTGAAGGATCTTGTGTGATGGGATATTTTAAGTTTTATTAAATAGATAAAGTGAGGAGCGAGGAAGAATTCTCTAGGAAGTGGTTGGTAGATAAGATGAACAGTATATTCCATCTAGATGTGGTTAAAGGTGTAGAGAGAATCTGTATGATGGAAAGAGGAGGCAAGTTGAAGAAGGTACAGGGATAAAAAGTATGTATGACTGGTGCATGAGGGAGTAATATTGATGGGGATGGCATCCCCCTTGTCAACTGAAAATCAAATAACCACTCCTTTATACCTAAATAAAATACACTTTAATATCAACCCAAAAGTTTTGAAAATCCGAGATAATACATAAATATGATTATATTTTGACATTCTAATTAGATTAAATGTGATGAATTATTATAATTAAAAAGGGATTTTATGATGGGAAAAAAATTGAAATCACCCACAAAAAATAAGCTCAGAATTATACTGTATAATTTTCAAACGTAATCAGAGTGTAGCATTATGCAGCACACAGTTACTGTAATTTTTCCTCCAAATCTCCTACCTGTCTCAGTCACTACCTCCTCCTCGTTAAAATTTTGCAATCTTAGTACAAACAACTGTATATGTAACTATAAAGAGTGTCACTTTTTAATATAAAAACGTATTATCGATGGTATAAAAGGAAAACTTGTGATTGTTGTGGCATTTAATGCTCATAAGTTTACTTACAAATTCATTTACTTTGCATTTACTTTATGTGAAGTATTGATGAGACATTGTTTTAAATATTTTTTTGATTGATGCATATAGTGTTCATTACAAAATTTTTCCCTTGTACAGGTGTTTTTACGAGACACGCAGGTCTTTGAAGCGTGGATAGAATCACGTGAAACTATAGTGAAGGACGACAAGATGGGTGATTCTATAAATGAAGTTGAAGAATTAATCCGTCGCCATGATGACTTCTTGAAGACCATTGATGCCCAGGAAGATAAGCTAGACCCTATTAAGAGATTTACTTTGGTAAGTGTGTATTAAATAAGTACTGTACTGTACATATTGGTAGGGTGTTCACCCGAGAGCACAAAGAAAGAACAAAGCTACTTATTTTTTTAGGATAAAAGGAGGAGTGTATTTGCTGTACAGTGGTCCCTCGATTAACGAGCACAATTGGTTACACTGAATCTATTATTTCAATGGGATATTGGGTAATTGGTTCCAACTCACAGAAAAAGTTTACAGTCAACCCTCACTTTACGCGGTTAATGTAACCCACAGGGTACCGCTGAAAGTGAGAAACGCGTAAAGTGAATAACATAACATAACATATGGGATTAAATGAAATAGAGAGCAGCTGACCCCCAAACTCCACTTTTTCCAACACAATACCTATGTTCTAGTAAAAATAACATCTTAATTTTATGATGGTACATGCACACAATTAATACTTAAGAGAAATAGAGAAATACAGTCGCCAAGTTGATGTCCATTCAAATAATGGACTGGACTCCCTCCCCCTCTTCTCACACTACACTTGCTGGCTCTTCCCTCTGAGAAATTTTTGGGAAAAAACCAGGTATAGTAATAAATAATAACTCAAACTAAAGTTAGGATAATATAATTGACATTGCTGGATTCCTTGTAAGACCAGGAATATTTTGAATATAAATGTCATATATTTTTCACAAAAGATAACATATTTACTCAGAGTAAACATTACATCTAAAATTTGCATGTCTAATGCAAAATCTGTGATGTTTATATTCAAAATGATCATCAAATTGTAAGAATTCCAGCAATGTAAATTATATTCTGGCCGGGTAATTTGTATGAATTTTATGAGCTAAAACAAATATCTTCAGTTAATAAAAAAAAAATATATTCTTCACGACACTATCTGTGAATTACACGAAAGTGCTTGGGAACTTCGTGTTTTCTTCTTTCCTTGTGGTATATATATATATATATATATATATATATATATATATATATATATATATATATATATATATATATATATATATATATATATATATATATATATATATATATATATATATATATATATATATATATATATATATATATATATATATATATATATATATATCAACAACCTCACCAGCAAGGAATCGAACCCTCGACCTACTGGGTGTGACTAGGGAACGCTTACCGGCTAGGCCACAAGGACACTAAAAGCAGTTCTAGACTCTGTTATATTTCACACAAAGCCTGTTCATCGAGCTGATGGCGCCGTGAACCTCATTGGGAAACTGCCCGTGCCTCTTATGTGGTGTCAGTAGCATTTTACCGAATCCAGCTGGTATGAAACGCGAGGTACATATATATACTTCATTTTTAGTCCATATAACACGCGGACTTTGAACATATAATCAACAACCTCACCAGCAAGGAATCGAACCCTCGACCTACTGGGTGAGGTTGTTGATTATATGTTCAAAGTCCATATGGACTAAAAATGAAGTATATATATATATATATATATATATATATATATATATATATATATATATATATATATATATATATATATATATATATATATATATATATATATATATATATATATATATATATATATATATATATATATATATATATATATATATATATATATATATATATATATATATATATATATATATATATATATATATATATATATATATATATATATATATATATATATATATATATATATATATATATATATATATATATATATATACACACACACACATATACAGTGACCCCTCGGTTAACGAACTCAATCCATTCCAGAAGGTCGTTCGTTAACCGAAACCATTGTTTCAATGGGTTTTTGGGTAATTGGTTCGAGCTCACCGAAAATTTCCTAAATTCAACAAAAATGGTAGAAAAGTTCACTTACTTTGTGGTGTGTATGTAGAAGGCTCCTGGATGATGATGATGATGATGGGAATTAGAATGGGGGTGGAGGAGAAGGAAGCAGAGAAGGCATTTGGGTGGAAGAGAAGCCACCCCATGGCACCATTTTACCCATAAAATTTTAGTTCTCTTGGTGCATTTCAAGATTATTTTCTTTAAATCAACACTGCACTGCATTATATATTGTCAATATGTAAAATATATTTAAAAATGACTAGTAATTTGCTTGGAAACACAGAAAAAAAGCATTTAGTTGAGTCTCAAGCAAGATGTTACCTCCAGTGAAAGCAGAGAGAGACTAACGCCTGTATGCTGTGTTAAGAGGCTGGATGCCGCTCATTAAACTAGTCACTTTACCTTCAATTATGTTCAATAATTGTTAAAATGACTAAAAAATTGAATATTAAACTTTTAAAATTATTGAATAGTATAAACTTCTTGATATTTACTAAAATAGTAAGGAATTTAAGCCCTAGAACCGATTAATGTATTGGCGGACTGATACTAAAGCTGGTTGCCCGGCCAGTGCAAGCGAAAACATGTTGAGGTCGGTTCGTAAGAAATTCGATAACCGAATTTTTGTTCGTTAACCGAATTGAAGATTCTTATGGAAGGCAGTTCGTTAACCGAAATTTCGTTAACCGAGGCGTTCGTTAACCGAGGGATCACTGTGTGTGTGTGTGTGTGTGTGTGTGTGTGTGTGTGTATATATATATATATATATATATATATATATATATATATATATATATATATATATATATATATATATATATATATATATATATATATATATATATATATATATAACTATGTTAAAGAAAAACACGTAAGTGCTTTCTTTCCTTGTGGTTATCAGCATATACCTAGATCACGCCAAGCACTCTATATATATATATATATATATATATATATATATATATATATATATATATATATATATATATATATATATATATATATATATATATATATATATATATATATATATATATATATATACACAGGTCCTCGGTTAACGAGCACAACTGCCTAGTTTCATAATCAAACTATGTATATATATATATATATATATATATATATATATATATATATATATATATATATATATATATATATATATATATATATATATATATATATATATATATATATATATATATATATATATATATATATATATATATATATACACACACACAGTGGGGTATGCTATAACGAATCTAATTGGTTCTAGAACCTTGTTCGTTATAGCATTCGTTTGTTATAGGATTAATTCGTTCCAGGCCCCCAAATACAACCCACTTAACACTGAAAAATATAATATAAAATTGTAAAAATTGTAAAAAAGTGCATAAATAAGCATCTAAACCCCTGAAATAAAGAACATCATTAATACTTGTAATAAAAAAACAATAAATTAGTAAAAAAAAAAGAAAAAAATTTTTTTTTTTTTTTCTAAATAATGTTCGTTGTAGGAGTTTCGTTCGTTATAGCAATCTCAATTTTATAGGTATAACCGTTCGTTATAGGAATATTCGTAGTAGGATCCGTTCGTTATAGCATACCCCACTGTATATATATTTGAATTGCACTTTTTAGTGTACACTACATGAAAGTGCATTATAATACAAAACCCTTCTAAAGAAAAAAAATTGATTTTCAGATTGAAGCAGAATTCCGGGCACAAAAGAAGCGTGAAGAGGATGCCAGAAAAGCAGAAGTAACTAGAAAAGAGCAAGAACGCATGGAGAATATGAAGCGAAAAGAGGTTCAACGAATCACAGATGTATGTGTTGAGGCATAATTAAAGCTTTTGTGGTTATCACTTAGATAGTTGTGATATGTTTCCTTACCAGGCAGTGCACTCTCATATCACTAAGGATGATTTTATCATTGTAGAAGAATTTCGCGTTACCTGTCCTTCCCAAAGTTTATTAGTCCTTCCAAAATTTTACAACACATTAAAAAAAAAAAAACTCAAATTTCAGTAGTTGACATATACGGGCTAAGCTTACATAAAGTTTTTTACTTGGACACTTTATTTAACTTAATAGCAATAGGTTAATTATATTCAAATTGCAAACACTGGCGTGCACAATATATTATAATACGCATAATCTGTTTCCTTGTTTACTTTATATCATTAGCTGAATTTTATAAACACACTTAAAAAATTACTGTGCTGTATGTAACTGAGGGCTTTCTTCTTCACTGGATTTGGTCAATAAGTTTATATATATAGTATGCTCCTCGTCCAATTCTTCGATATCATCCAGTACTTCCTCTGTGCTGCAGCCATCTGTGTGGTTATACCCATCAACATGGCAGGCCTCAGTTGCTAAAAATCTGTTGGTTTGCTCTGGATTGAAGTTGCTAACACATTCTGACTGCACCTGAACCAACAGGAGTTAAGTGGTCATTGGTGAGACGACTGCACCAGTCTGTCTTGATGAATTTGATCTGACTGAAGCCACGTTCAGCATCAGCAGAACAGGTTGGAATGGACAGCAGAAGGTCAACTAAATGGAGAAAGGAGCCACAGTTTTCTCTGTATGATTCATTTATTTGCTGCCAGGACAGTTTTGAAACAGGTGATATCTTAATTATTTTTTAGAGATAGCATTTGAGTACAGCCCATTCATCCTCCAGCTTGGTTGGATTCACTTCTGCTTCCCTTCATGTTTTCTCAAGAGACTGAGCCAGCGCTCCCACAGTGGTGTCTCTGAAACCTTCATTCCCTGTGTATTCTGCAGGCCACAGCTTGAAATCCAGAATCCATGAATTTTACAGAACTGCAATGGCCATGTCAATAAATCTTTACTTTAGATTTGTAATCAGAGATGTCACCATATGCCTTGCAGCCATGAAGGTACTATTTCTATCACTCTGCTTCTCTCCTTGGTAGTGTCACCTTTCAAAATCTTTCTCAGACAGGGTCCTAGGCTTGTCAAATTAAGTCAACTGAGGCCTGAATTTCAGTCATGATAGCAGAAATACTGGTTTGTCTGTTGAAACTGCTCTGAAAGGCACCCAAGGCAACACAAGATATCCAGGAGGAGGTGGATGTATGTGATTACTTCAGCATTGGTTAGAAGCATTAGATAGTTTTAGCTTTTCTTGTCGAGTCAAACACCGCATACCATGATGTCTAGAATGGTCTAGATCATGTTGATTGTTCATATTGATGCTGCTGCTGCTGTAACTTTTCTTCTTTTGTTTTTGAGCTTGGTGTTGGATTAACATTCTTCCACATACCAAAAAATCACCCTTTGGCGACTCATGATGAATAATAATAATGTCTGTTTCAGTTAGACATATCAATACTGTACGGAGGCTGTACGGAGGTATTAGTTGCACTGAGATCACGGACTCCCTGGGAGCCGCAGGGTGCAATGACCAATTATGCTGGTTCATGTGTGCAACACACGTTTGCTCTGGCAATGCATTTTATAAACTGGGCACCAAGCACTTCCTTATGGTAAAGCAGACTGTCAAAAATATAAATAATTTTTATTAAGTGATAAATACACTACTGTACTGTACTAATTTACGAAGTGTTGAAGACAGGCGTTGGGTTAAGCATGAGTGGTGAAGTAACTAAGTCGATCAGCTGTTTGGCCTTTGTAAACAAACGATTCTTTGTATTGAGTGTGGGATTCTTTTTTCAGGAAGTTGATACTTTTTGGATAATATTTTATCAACCTGGTACCAAATGAACCTAAATGATATGAGAATTATGGTGTTATAGGGATCTTGGGGGAGGGAGCAACCCACCCCTCCGCCTGCTGCTCCCAGGTATACACTTGTATTCCACGTACAATACAGCTCCTCCCCGAATTACGACGGGGTTAGGGACCGACATCCAGGTCGTAAGTAGAAATGGTCGTAAGTCGGAAATGCTTAAATAATACATAGAAAATCTAAAATGGGTTTCTCTTTTTCTTCTCAGCACCACAAAACACTCACTTTTAAGCTTGCCAGCCATTTTAAAGTGAATTACAAATGAAAATTTTGTCTGTGTACTGACTTTGGGACTCGAAAATACGTAATTTGACCAAATTTTGGTACGACTGAGGCAGGTCATAAGTGCGGATGGTCGTAAGTCGAGTAGGTCGTAAGTCGGGGAGGAGCTGTTTACCCCTTCACTTTTATTTTCTTATTTATATCTTTTTAGTACTTTACATTATAGTTTTCTCTTTACTTACACATAACACTTTACAGAAAATAACAATCATCTTGGTGAAAACAGTTGTTGACAACCAGACTTGATTTCAACCCAGAGAGTTGTTTCATATTTTTTTTTATTGTTAATGTAATATTCTCTTAATAACCTTGTTTTACACTTAAAGACCTTAATTGCCAAGTGTAGTAATAACATAACTGATTTCCTTTAAACAGTTCAGGTAAACAGTGTTATCACACCATCCCCCCTCCCTCCCTCCCTCCCTCCCATAGATTCGCCTTTTTTCAAACTTGTATTTTTCGGACTGGGGTTTGCCCCAGTTAGTCCAATTTATCGAGGTTGTAGTGCATGTCTGTTGGCGCTTGCTCTCGTTCGTGTGTGTGGACACACGATTGTGTGTGTGCGCGCATGCGCTCTTGTGTGTAATAATAATAATAATAATAATAATAATTAACGGTTTTTTGAAAAAGTTCTGCCTCCTGAAGGCTAAAATATACATTGGACATAAATGACTTATTACATACATTGGTGGTTTAACAAAAGCCTTCATTAGAGAAAGGTAAAGGAACATACAGTGAACATACAGATTAATGTAGGTGTTGAACAACAAACATGTAGTGTAGTAACTCCCTCCCAGATGGTGTTAGTAGGGACCTCACGTGGTGTAGTAGTTCCCTCACAGATGGTTTTATGAGGGGCATCACGTGGTGTAGTAATTCCCTCACAGATGGTGTTATGAGGGACCTCACGTGGTGCAGTAATTCCCTCACAGATGGTGTTATGAAGGACCTGACGTGGTGTAGTAATTCCCTCACAGATGGTGTTATATGAGTGAGGTGTGGTCCCAGGCCTTCCTATCGTAGACGGATTAACACATCACTGGTTGTTGTTGTTGGGTCTCACGGGTAGTTATCGCTGGGTACCTGGGTCCTCACTGAAGGTTAACTTGGGTACGACTCGGCTGTTACTGTTGAATTGTTCTCATTGACTTAAGCTCTGTTCAACACTGGTTCCATTCCTTTCCTAAATGAAATTGTAACTTCTGGCGAGAACTTGTTGATATTTCGGTGGGGAGGAGGGTTCAGGGGAGGGAGTTGGTATGGGCCAACTTAACAGTTGGCCTGGCTGCTCCCAGAGGAGCGCCAGGTACGTCTTGACCCTTCGGTGGTCAAGGATGTACCTCGGTAGTGCATGCTTTTGTGTGTTTGCGTGCATGCTCTTGTGTCTCTGTGTGTGCGTGCATGCTCGTGTGTGTGTGTGCGTGCGTGCGTGCGCACTTGTGTGTGTGCACTTGTTTGTTTAGGATAAAATAATGTTTGCTTAACTGAATATGATACAAAATGTACATAGATTAGAATTATCAGAGTATATTATGTATTTTCATCCTAATAGGAACGACGTCGTGAAGATGAAAGGCGCCGAACTCAGGAGATAAAGTTTACTAAGGAAGACATGGAACGAGTGCGTCTGTCAATGAATGGCGAGTATGCCAAATCACCTGCCTCAGCCAGAGAACAGGAGACTCCATCTAGGTAAGATGTCGAGTGGATACATAAGTAGATGTTTAGGTTGTAAGTGGTGATATTACTACTAACTTTTAGATGTGTAGTTTGATTTCTCACTTGAGTTGACATTTCAAGAAGAAAAATAATAAAATACTGTATACAGTTGGACAGTCGGTCTCCTATAAACCTTATCTAACTACAGCAGGATGACCCATGCAAAGTCCTCACTAAAGAAGTTAGTCTTAGAATATTGCATGTCATCATCCTTACTCCTTCCTTGGTTAAAATATTTTATTTATTCCATCCAATTTCATTGTTCTAGACCAACTCGACTTCACTTACACAAATTCTTTTGTGATTTTTTCATTAGTTTATTCTGTTAATTCTATCTTAATATTATTTTAATGTATTTATTGCATTAACATTTTAGTCTTATACTTACTCTCTTTTTGTATTTCCTCCAACCTAAGGTCTTTTGGGTTGGGGATTGGGGAACAACATAAATTGGCCATATGGCTTAATGAAGCATAATGTTAAATGTCCTAGAATTGGGGAAAAATTAGATAGCAGCTGCAGTTTCTTAATGCCCAAATCTTCAGAGCATTTCCTTATGCTCACGGGTGACTCATCATCTTCACAGTATTCCCTAATATCACAACTTTCCATCAAAATTTTTAAAATTTCTCCCATTTTACTGCATATTTGTTTACATTTACATCTACCAAATGCACAAATTTTACTCTTGGGGCTTCCAGTTACATGTTCCAATAAAATTCCATCTTCCATGGTGTTTGTGGGGTAATGGAGTAGCTGTGAGATATTTGTAGGTGAATTGTTACTGCTGGTAATATATGGCATCAATGTATGCTCACAGCAGCTACAAGGAGTTTGAAACTGGGTAGGAAAAATCAAGACATCTCTCATACATCCTTTGGACTTTGTGCTAATTTCTCACATGATCCACATGGTGAATTCTATGCAGTTTATCAGAAGAAATATGAAAAGAATATATTAGAAGTTTGCAAGAAGAGGCTTTCAGCACAAGAACTGTATATTCCATTTATACTTACTAAATTGTATGAGGACTTTTTTCATTACAACTCATCAATATGCTTTTACCTAACTCAGGAATTTACAGAACTACTGTACAGTAATTTAGGTATTGTAAAAAATTAAGAGGAAATACAAGGGGAATACTGTGTAAAGGTATGTGTTGAGAGGCTGCCAGTGCTAAACATATATATATGTACAGGTATCCTTCAATATACGAATGGGTTAGATCCGCCCCAGAAAAAAATCTTTGTGATTTTTTTTTTATCTCGAATAACAACAAATGGCAAAATTAGGGCTTGGTTCCCCACTGACAAAATTACCCCAATATAAAATAGGCTTCCCCTAGGTTACAGAATTTGGAAATTACGAGCAATAAATTTGGAATATGGCCCAAAAATTTCTCCCTCACGGAATTTGGGTGAATTTGTAATTTTGTCAACCCTAAAAATTGCGAAGCAGAACAAAATATTTCAACAAAATTGTAAAATCTATATATTGTGGCTTTCTTGGTGGTTGCTGCAACATGTTGGAGGATGGCGCACCCACGCCAATGGTGCTCAGTTTGATTTCAAACCTCGGCTTGTTCGGTTTTGCGTCTGTGTTCAGGATTGTGTTACTTTGTACCATTATTCAAGATGAGTGGAAAAAGACCATCAAGTTCAATTGAAAGCGGTGGTGATAAAAGATCCCATTAAGGAATAATGTTGGACATTAAACTTGATGTTTTAACCCTTTTGCCCCGCGCTAGTGTGTCGCTGGTCGTTTCCCCCCACGCGGGGGTTAATTGAGACAACTCAAAGCTTTAAAAAAAAAATTTTTTTTAACCTTTTTTAAATGATAAAACAATAAAAAAGAATTAAGAAAAACTATATATTGATCCTCTAGAAACTTCCCTGTGGCGTGGGAGATATAGGGACAGTGTTGTTTTGACAGCTGAAGCTCGTGGACACTACGCACTTAACAGCCATTTTCTGCTTGCCGTTTTGTTCGGGATGGCCACTGGCCAATAATGCATATATTTACTGATCATAATACTTATTTCCTATAAATAATTCATTTAGAATATTTTATTGCATTATTTTTCATAAAAGTGCTTGGCAACACACAAGCAGTCTGTCGCCAGGCTGTCTGGCTGTCTCTGTTTAGTAGAGCAAGTAATGCATTTAAAATAATAGTAATTTCACAAATAAATACATTGATAGCCTAATCAGAGCATTATTTCCCAGTAATACTACACTACAATACAACTACACTACTTTTAGGGTTAAGGGGGTAACTCCCAGTAACTGATCGCACCACCTCACGCAGCACCATTTGTGATGAGTTAAATTCTAGTGTTGTGTGCATTTAATGTCATGTTACATTATGAAGTAATCACTGTTTGTGTTTAAACATTTTTATTTTCGTTGTTTATTTTCATTCATGTGTGCGCTCTTGTATTACGTATTTTTGCTAAAAAAATGTTTCCTTGGGAACGCATCTCTGATTATATAATGGGAGTCAATGGGAAAATTGGTCCCGCATTACAGAAATCTCCATTATGGAAACATATTCAAGGACACATCCCTTATGTAACCTGGGTGATGCCTGTACCCTAAAAAGATGAAATTGGTTCACAAGCAGGAAAAACCTACCTAAATTATGATAAATAGTACAGAACTACTATAGTTTAATACCTTACACATTAAAAACATTAAATTACTCCCTAAATGAAAATATGCAGCTAAAGCAAAATCAAAGTTTAACACAGCTGCCAGCGGTGCCATTTGTATAAACACTGGCTGCTTCACACATGGCTGCCCCCTAGCGTCACCATAGCAATCCAGCCTGGCTGCATCTACATGACCCTGAACAATGCTCCCTCCCCTGCTCTCACACACTAAGAAATTTGTTTTTGACTGCATGATAGATTTTTTTATGCTTTTTTTTTTTTGTATTTTATGTACTGTATGTAGGGTTGTGTGTGGATGTAACTGAGTAAAACAGAGTGAAGAAAATTAGGATATACAGTATATTCAAAACTATGAGTTGAAAAATAATCCAATATAACTCCCACAGCTCATCCTGCTAACTCGCTGGTGCACGAAGAAATGTTTATCCCTTTAAGTTTTTGAACTCGTGATTTTTTTTTTTTCTTTTTTTTTTTTTTTGCTCATTTCTGTATGTAAGATTGTGTGTACATGTAACGGGGAAAAAATATGAAGAAAGTATATACGTACCACAGTATACTCAAAATTACGAGTTGAAAAATAATCCTAGGGGAATGTCGCTACCTTAGCGGACTCCTGGGGGTGCACAATTTTAATTTTTGCCGGGACCCAAATTCATAAAAGTGGGGGAAAGCCTTCATAACACGAAAAAGAGGTTACAGTGAACCCTCAAAGATCCGGACGAAAAGGGGGGACCACCTGTCTGGAAAACCCGATTGTCCAAATTTTCCGGCGAATCATATTTTTTTCCCTTTTTTTTACGGGGATTAGCCCACCTGGGTATACCAAAAATACAGTACTAATGTAGTGATCAATAAATTACTGTATACCTGTATGAACTATGCATTTACCTATGATAACATAATAAGAAACATTGTATCATTACTAGAGTGTTTGCGGCGTAGAAGACGCTGCATCGTCGAAGACGCTTCCTGATTTTGGAAATGTAATTCTAGGAAAAAAGATTTTATACTTACTAACCGACACCAGTGAAACCTTGCTTGATATACAGCCCTTTTGGCACAAGTACACACACCTCTTTGAATATCATCACTTAGAACTGCTTATCGGTCGTCATTTTATACACCTGGTCACCTCCTCGTTTAGCGGGCTGTAGTGTTTACATTCTTTCTCTTGATTTTGTCGGTATGACAATGACGAGAAATATTTTCCATCAGTAGAAGGTAAGCAAATGTAAACATGTATATCAGTGACTAAAGAAAAAAAATTATTTAAAAAAAATTAAAAGTAAAAAAGCCACTCGGTAAAAATCAGTTGAATTAAAATATTTGGTAAGCAAGTGTGAAGAAACAAAAATTTCTGTGCTCTGAGACCAGCAGACAACCTTTTGCAATTCCTCAATAGATGGTGCTGCCTCACCACTGCCATTAGTAAACAAACCGCACAGCTGCAGCCGTTTATTTTTTATTTTTTACCTACTGAGTAAGTAAATATTCGTATTTTGTGCTGTATGTCAACAATATTAGTTAAATCAATTTTATTATAGTACAGTATAGAGAATACAGTACTGTACTTGTAATTGCTAAGTAATGAGGTAACAGTCTTTGTAAGGGGCTGATTTCTGTTGACCCTAAGAAAACCTCCGCTACAACCCTTCAACTAGCGTCGTAGAAGAAGCATGGTAATTTTCAAGGTATATTTTTCTATAAAAAAAAGTGCGTCTTCTAAACCGCAAAATACAATAATATTCCCACAAACAACAATAGTCAACTCTGTTTATGTTTCCCATCTCCTCAGGCACCTGTGTCCAAGCAACTGACGGGTCAAACAGCGCCCACGGGCCTAAAATTTTCTTTGCTCTGGTTTAGAAATGTTTCTTAGGGAAACTTCTAGAAGGCTTCGTAGCCCAGAACCCCTAATTTTTTTGTCCGGATCTTCCGAAATCCGGATTTCCCGGGCCCAGGTCTTTGAGGGTTTACTGTATTTTGGAATTTGTAAGGCGAATTTTAGTATCATGAATGTTCATATATTGAGGGATACCTGTATATATTGCACATACTATACTGTATAGAGTACAGTCTCTCCTCGACTTACGGCAACCCGGACATATGACGGCCATGGTCGTATAAAATATTTTTCACATTACGTATTTTCGAGTCCCGACGTTAGTGATCACGCTGTGTACTGACAAAATTTTTTTTTGTAATTCCCTTTAAAATGGCTGGCAAGCATAAAAGTGAGAGTTCTCGGGGTGCTGAGAAGAAAAAGAGACACCCATTTTAGAATTTCTATGTATACTGTATT